TTGCTTGCATTTATGGTCCACATCATCTTGATTTTGTATTGTTTTGAGATTCACTCTAGGATTCTACACTAGCACAGGTACACACTAGCATTCATTTGTGGGGTACATGCTTTGTTGATTATTGATTTGGTTATATCCCTATTAAGCTAGTAGTGCATTGAAAGTTTTCATTCTTAACAAAGGTGGATAACAAACCCTTTTCATTAAGTAGCCGGGATTCTAGCCTTATCAAGCACTAAATTTCTCGCACCCAAAGGTAGAGGACCCAAACTCTAGGTTAATAACTTATAAAAATAAAATAAAATAAAATAAAAAATAAAAAAGTGAGGACTTCTCCCAAAATGTGAGAAGTGGGAAAGGATTAAATGGAGGTTAGTTTGATTTGTAACCTAGTTAATTTAAGCTTGTAAGTCCTTAGGGGTGTTTAAACACCTAGTGCCCTAAAGCCGTCCAGTTTGGGAGTCATTGACCCATTGCTCGATCTCATGGATCGCTAGGAAGCTTAATAGATCACTACATTGCACCATGTTCCCATCTTTGATCCTTAGGGCTAGTAAAATAATAATAATAATAATCGAGTGGAAAGAATAAGTGCACCTAGATGAATAAAGCTTTAATAAAAGGTTCATTCTTTGTCTTGATGATCGGTACTAGATTTGTGTGCTAGCTTGAGACCGGATATGATCATTTCTTTAATTGGCTTAGATAACAACATATTTGATGTCGGTTCACTTAAAAAGGATTCTAGAGTTGTTTGGATTTACATGATCTTTGTCTTGAAGTGTGGAGGATCATTTTTGCTTGCTTAATGTTGAAATTTTGGGAGATTGCTTAGAGGTGGTTGAAATATTGCATACTTAAGGTAGTTTTCTCCCAATGCTTGTTTGAAATATTGGTGCCTTTTTAGTGAGAAAGAGCTTAATTTTTGTGGGTATCATTTCTGGAAACCCTCGTAAGACTTCACTCGTCCACTAGGAGTAGCTTAGGGGTTTAAAAGGCTTGTTGCATATGCTAAATGCAATCGTGTTCCCTACAAAAGTAGCGTTATCCATTTATTGCTTTCTAGTTTATAGTTATTTAGTTGTTCATTTCATTTCTTTACTTTGTAGTTCATTACTAGGGACTAGCAATATTTAAGTTTAGGGATGTGATAAGTGCTGAAAAGTGCGCATTTAAACTCCTTAATCTTGAATGTTCTAGGACCTTTATCTATCTTATTTTCCCGTTTTAGTCTAATTTCATGTTATTCCCCTTTTTAGGCACTTATCTCCAAAGCATGTCAAATCCGCTGAATTAGAGCATTGAAGGAAGCAATCTAAAGTCCAGCTGAAGAAAGGAGCAAACTGGAAGCAAAATGGTGAAAAAAGTCCTCTATGATTGATCACATTGCGATCGTTCCAACCATACCATGATGGATCGAACCCCTTGTCCTTATTCTCAGGAAAATTTCCTATTCGATCGATCCAACCTTTCCTTCGATCGATCCAACCTTTTGATCTTATCCTCACCAACTACTTTTGTCCTTTTCCCATAAATATCTCAGCCTTTGTTCTTATCCAAATAAATGCACCGCCTTACTTCAATAGATCAGAGCAACCATGTGATCGATCGAACTGTTTCAAATTGCGCGCAAAATTGATTTCAAGCTGAATTGAAGGTGTGCTCATGGTGTAATCATTTGGAGGTCCTAGTGCACGAGATCTGACCATTGGGTGTGACATTTGAGCTACTTATATAAGGAATTTGACTATTTTTAGCAAGGAGGTTAGTTAGTTAGAGAGAATTGGCTAGAGATTAGAGAGAGAAATTAAATTTTGGGAGAGTTCTTCATTCTTCTAGGGTTTCCACCAAGAACACCGAGGAGGATGAATTCAAACATAGAGAAAGCCCTTGAGGGTTGGTTGACACCAATCATGAGTGGCTAGACTATTCTCTTGGGGCTAGAGATAGCCCTAAGCATGCTTTTTAGACTTTGATGATTGTAATTAATGGGGATTTGTGTTATAACTATTGTTTTGACCTCTTATATATATAAATCTTGTTTCTATATGATTTGTGTAGTTTAATACTTTTAATTGATCTTTTAATTCTATTCATATATCTATGTAAGTTGGAATGAATGGTCATGTGCTTTACATTTGATTCTTTACATTTGATGCATGTCTATATGTATTACAATGTTTGGTCTAGTGTGGGTCAAGGCATGGTGCTTAATGGATTACTCTTGTGGTTTATTTGATGCTTCATACTTATTTCTTGATGGATTGTGCCACCTCCTTAGTTCAGTTAGTTGAACTTTCATATCATTAGCATAGTTATAGTTTAATTGCCTTAATTTTCTAGATAGGTAGACAATCCATTCTTATTGTTTGATGATCCATGCTTATGAGTACAAGTAGTATATTTATCTAGATTATTGAGTTTGCATTGATTGTGGGCTTATGGAATGATTAATGGCTTAATTTGATATCATGTGTTATTCACTTGATTGTTTAAACAATGTATGCTTACTTGGCCATCCAAGTTTAATATTCCAATTAATTGCATACACCTTGTTTACAACACATAATCCCCCTAATTTATCAAATGTTGATTGTCTAGGTAAGCAATGCTTAGCGGTGAACTCTATGTCCCAAGAACCCTCTTTCATTCTCTACATCCCACTTGTTTTACTTGCTTTGCATTGCACTACTTTAGTTTACATTGTAGTATAATTAAACCAACAAAAACCTCTTTGATCATTCGACCTACTAATCCAACATTAATTCCGGAATACCTTCTTTTTCCTTTGGGACGATCCCTACTCACTATTGCTACTTTAGTAGTTAGTAGTGGTAGTGGCGTTTTACAAATTTAAGCTTGGCCACATTTTATCACACATCGAGGTTTGACACGCCACAGAGCCTGAGCACCTCCCAGATTGTGGCGAACCGAGCCCGAGCATGCCAAAACTTGGCTCGGCTCGGTCCATTTACAACCCTAGCCACATGCCGAAGGTAAGAAGACATGAGTGGGGTCTCGACGATGAGATCCAAAAAAGAAAGGCAACGCGTAGCTACCGAGGCTCGAGGGGAGGAGTATGTGATTGATGGCCCTCATTTCCTACTTGCTACTGATATACCTGCCGGAGAGGTAGATGACAAAAAGCCTGATGATAGAGCTCCTCCTGCAGATCGAGAAGATGATGAAAGTTCTGGGTCTGAGGAGGATATGGATACCACCGAGGGCCAGACATAAGCAAAGCCTATAGCACAGACTAAGAGATCTTCTCAGGCTGAGATTACAGAGTTACATGCCAAGATGGCACAGCTGATAGAGTTTCATTCTGAGCATTCCAGTCACTAGCTATCATTCAAAGCCTGTTGACTGCACAGCGAGAGACGTCAGACGAGCTTCTTCGCCATTTTTCCTCTGAGGCTTCGACTTATTCTGCCATTCCTCTGAACATCTGATTTAGCTGATAGGCCAATTTTTGTTTTATTTTTTATGTATAGGCTTGATGACGACTAGGGCAGACATATTTTGTTGTATTTTGTTTCTTTTCTGCTGTTTTCCTGCCCTAAGTTGTATTCTGAAAGCATTGTACTGATTTGATATATATGTGTGTGTGTATATATATATATATATATATATATGCATATTTTTTTGCCTATTTTGCCCTTGTCTATGTATGGATGCTATGTTTTACTTGTGCATGATGATATATACCTATTTTACTTCATATACTTGGTACTCTAATATGTGCTGTGGAGTTTGATTATTTTTCCAAGTGTATTGACTAAGTTTGGGGGTAATGTTTCCTATTTTGCCCTTCTGCACTAAACGTTTATATAACCAAAAGAGCAATCTTCACCACTGACACAACACCTAGTTGGCATTCTTTTTCCTCATCTCAAATCTCATTGGTCCATTTTTTTTTCTAATATCCTGGCAAACTATGGTATGGAGGGACTCGAATACAGGCACACCTGTTTCGAAAATTGGGCAATCTACCAACTAAGCCACTGTGTAATCCCTGTTATTAATCAACAATCCACATATATTCTTACATTGTCCTTTATACTTCATTAAGTATGAAAGAAAAAAAATTGAATGGAAAGAATGGATGGAAGAGACATCCTTAAAAAATAGATTATATTCTTCCATCTTTTTGTTCAGTTTGATAAAAGAGAAGAGAATAAGCTTACAATTTATAGTGTTCGTTAGGAGAGAAGGAAATAAAGAGTTTTAAATTATTTTTACTATTATACCCATCACTATCTATAATATTGTAATTTAAAAGTTGTATAATTTAGGATAATATTGTAATTCAAAGCTTCTATAATAGTATCACTTATCTTCCATCCTCTCTTCAAATAGATATTGACCTTCTCCTTCTCTTCTACTTATATTTGAAGGAATAAAAATTTATAAAGGAGAAAAGATGACTTATCCCTTCTATTATTATTTATTTTCTTATTTTCTCTTCACCGGATGAAGGAATACTTCCTACCTACCTATTTGTTCTTCGCGCTCACTTCTTTCATTCCTATGGACACCAATGATTAATATTGTCATCAATAACTGTGCACGGAGACAAATTATGGCCAATAAAATAATTTGATACATTTCTCAATTGAAGTTTTAATCAAATCTATTTTATTTCTACTCATATGATAACAATTAATGAAATTTGATAAAAAAAAAAAAAATTTGATTAGTTAATATAATGAACAATAATTGAAATTTGATATAAAAATTTCACTATATAATTTTCATGCAATTTTCTCTCAAACTAGTTGCACATTTTCAATATTGGATCCAATATCTGTAGACGACAATCCAAATAAATAAATAAATAAATAAATAAAAATAAAATAAAATTATAGAACCAAAGTATGCCTAAGGCATTTCTCTTTTCTCACACGTGTATATCTTTGTATATATTATGTACGAAATATATATATATATATATATATATATATATATATATCTCTATCCTATAGTATATATATAGAAATCTATAAGACTTGACTACAAAGCAGAGAATCATCTGAGTGGGTCGTACTCAATACTTCTGCGTCGCCGTCCCAGCACGCGATTTTGCCAACCACTCCTTCAACCTTTCACCTTCAATTCAATTCTAAGGTACGCCTCATTAACAACGTTGTTTTTATCATCCTAAGTCAAAAAGAGGAAGAATCACAAGGTTTTCTCTTCTTTGATTTGATCATCTAATTATGTTTGACAAAACAATAAATACATAATCTTCTCAATTGATTGTTTGATATATACGTCGATAATTTGATGTAAATTGTTTGATGTAAGCACATATATATATATTCACACTCATATATATGTATAACTGCGTTTCCTTTTTGGTTTTTTTTGCTTTTAGAATGTTGGTTTTCCCTTATAGTCTGATGAATTTTGTTAACTTGGACCAATTTATATATGTGAATTTATTCTATGCATGTGTAGTTTATATGATTTGTTGATTAATTTGTTGTGTTTATAGTCTCTCTTTGTATTTTATGTGATTAGATATAAATTGTGTGATGAACTTTTAGATTTTAGTCTAACTAGTGGAGTAATTTTCTCTTGGTCTTTACTTTGTTTTAGGGTTGAAGATTTAGTGGGTGGAGCTTAAAAAATTTGAAGAATTTGCTTGGCCTGTGCAACTGAGATTTTGAGACTAGGGTTTTGAAGATGAGTGACAACTTGATGGATAAAGTTAGCGCTTTTGGTGAGCGTTTGAAGATTGGAGGAGCTGAGGTTGGTCGAAAGATGACTGCTGGCGTGAACTCTATGAGTTTCAAGATGAAGGAGCTACTCCAAGGCCCAAATCAGGCTGACAAGCTTGTCGAGGATGCAACAGCTGAAACTTTGGACGAGCCTGATTGGGCCACCAATCTTGATCTTTGCGACATGATCAATCATGACAAGATCAGTAGTGTTGATTTGATCCGTGGAATAAAGAAACGGCTCATGTTGAAGAACCCCAGAGTTCAGTACTTGGCCTTGGTGTTGCTTGAAACTGTTGTCAAGAATTGTGAGAAGGCATTCTCGGAGGTTGCAGCCGAGAGGGTGCTTGATGAAATGGTGAAGTTGATTGATGATCCTCAGACTGTTGTTAACAATCGGAACAAGGTTCTGATGTTGATCGAAGCATGGGGGGAGTCCTCTAATGAGCTCCGATATTTGCCTGTGTTTGAAGAGACATACAAGGTATCTCTACTGCTTAAAATGGCTTACTATGGTTTACTTTTCTATATCCTCTTTCCATGTTGCAATTTAAAACTTTTCTTCGTTGAGATTTAAAACTATTCATTTTCAGAGTGCCAACCAACTGAAGGAAATAGAAGACTGGAAAATTTTATTATCTTATCTATCATTTCTTTGTTTTCCTTCCGAATGAAAAATCTTCTCAGCTTAATCAAATGGTTATTTTTTTTTAATCGGGATTTCAGATGATGAAAATTCTACGTATCATTTCTATTTACCTCTCACATTAACCAAATGTAAGCTTTTGTTAATTATCTCTTGGCAGAGTCTTTCCCCATTATGGAGATAAGATACATATTTTACTAAACATGTAGAAGTGAAGATGAAATACCTGTTTTGAAGTTATTCTAAATGAATGTTGAGAAATCCACTAGGGCAATTAAGAAAAAAGAAAAGAAAAGATTTTGGACGTGAATTCTGGATGATTGAATGGATTGCTTCAAACTTTTCTAAATAAATGTGTTTTCTTGAAATTATAAAGTTGTAAAGCTTACACGAAAAATTTTGTATGGTCAAGACAAATACATAGTATAGTGCATACACAGAAATAAAATTCTTTTCTTATGGTAAAGAACTGCTGGATCATGTATTAGATTAAGCCTATCTTGTGATTTCCTTTTGTTTTAGAGTTTGAAATCAAGGGGTGTACGGTTCCCTGGTCGTGATAATGAAAGTTTGGCCCCAATATTCACTCCTCCCCGTTCAGTCTCTGCTTCAGAATCAAATGCTAGCCTTGGCCAACAAGTTCATCATGACATTCCTGCAGAAACCTTTACAGCTGTACAAACAAAGGAAGCATTTGATGTGGCACGGAACAGCATTGAGCTTCTAACAACAGTTTTATCCTCTTCACCTGAACAAGATGCTTTAAAGGTACTTTTACTTTGTTGCGAGAAGAATATGTGTATGCCTTGGTTTTTAGTTTGATATAACACTTATGGTTCACTTTGAATTCTTATGTTATGAATTGCATGTAGATGCTCGTAAAAACCAAAAAAGAAAAAATATTAGTCAGGTTGCTTTTGTTGCATTGTTATTTGACCCCCATAAATGACCTGGTCAGGCATAACTATTTCCCTTGATTTGGCCTTTTCTTGTTCTGTCTTTTACTAAACTAACATTCGAAAGATTCTAACAGGGGGTTGTTCAATCAGCCTAATGTTTTGGGCAGTATGCTTTGGATTATTGATTATTTCTTTTGGTACTGTGTTATATATGTCCTTGTAATTCCTTAGTCATAGGGGTAATTAATGCCAGTCTACTGTCATCTTTTTTCATCGATCAGTTGCTATTTTAAGTGCATGGCTTCTCTTACAACAGAACACAATACAAAGTAACTTTAGTCGTACAGGCTTCCTTTGCAGTCGTGTTGATAGCAATAGTTTTGTGATACCGGTTTGCACATGTATTCTTCTAAAAGTTGGAAATTTGCTTGGTGGCGTATAGATTTCAATTAGTTAAATTCCTCTAACCATCTACTAAATATTCAACAAATAATTTGGAGTCTTTATGTATTTTCTCCGTTTTTGGCAGGTATGGTAGGATTATTGATTTGGTTATCATTAATTTTTTGATAGTCGTGTCTTCCCTTCAAACAAAGTAATGAGATTTGAACATAGTATGTACTTGTGATCAGTGTAATTTCGACTTACATTTCCTCATATTTGAGGCGATGACTTCTTTATTAAAAACTGGGAGACTGGAGGAGGGTTCCGAGTCAACTGCCTTAAAATATATATTTCAAAATTTTATTATTGGCAAGCGTTTTGGGAATCAGATCTTTGAGGGCTTCACAGCAGAAATATATTTTTACTTAAAATATGATTGTTTTAAAGCCAGTATTATTTTGTAAATTTTTTAAAGGTTTATATTGCTTTCCATTCTTTAGTTTCTTCTACATTAAACTTATGCACTTTTAATAATTATGTCTGCCCATCAATTGAAAATTTTCTTCTACACTTTTGTGCCACTAGTTCATTGTAGAATACTTCATTGGAGAAGCATGACGTATTTAATCTGATTGTAGAGAAATTAAACTGCCCCTGCTTAATTATAGGTCTAGTGATTGTCACAAGAGCTATAATTAAGCACTCATTAATTACATGTTTCCTATTTTTAGGACAAATGTGCCCTTTTAACCCTTTCTTCTCTCTCCTCACTTAATCGAGTATACATATGTACTATATATATACATACACATGTATATATATGAACAGCTAACATTTGAAAAGAAACAAAAGTAGTTGTTCATATATACACACACACACACACTATATATGTGTGTGTGTGTGTGTATATATATATATGTACACGCAAATGGATCAAGTGAGGAGAGGGAAAAAAGGAAAAAAAAAAAAAAAGGAAAGGAAAGTAGCTGTCTATATATATACACACTATACGTGTATATGTGATTATTTGCAGAGCGATTAAGGGAGGAGAGAGAATAAAGGGTTAAAAGGGCAGTTTTGTCCCAAAAAAATTATATTTTTAATGTCAAGAGCGAGTGTACAACGACATGTAATTAACGAGTGTTTAATTATAGCTCTTGTGACCAATCACAAGAGCGAGTGTGCAACGAAAGTCGCATTAGTGACTGCCCCTAGCACTCCTCTTATGTAGATGTAATTATATAAATACATCAATTAAAATCTACTTTAGTGTGCAGCTTGCTGTTTCGAGTTATGGACACATTATTGGGGTAAGTGGTGTAGAAAACTATACATTTAATCATATTGTATGAAACATTTTGATTTTAGAGGAAAAGTAACATGTAGATCGAGTATGAGAGAACATGCATCATGACCTTAGAGCATCTCCAATGCAATACTATAAGGGCTGCCATTTCTAAAATATAGCAGGAGATGGTAAAAATGGGCTCTCCAATGCAATGCTATATGGGCTGCCAAATTTTAACTTTGCTAAAACTGATGCCAATTGTAGCACAAGAAATAGCTACTGCTATTTCAGAAAAAAATCTGAAATGATATGCCGATATGGGTTCATATATATATATATATTTAAAAAAGATCATAAAAATTTTCACCAAATAGGATTTAGTTTGCAAAACAAGAATTATAGACCTTGATTAGTTGATTTAGAAAAAAAATTAAAACAAAACCCATACGTACAAGTTAACAATTACAGAGAGAGAGGGGGGCAAGCTTGAGAGTTGAGAGACAGCGGCAGAAGCTTGCGAACGGCGAACCCGAACTGGAACAGCGGGCGATGGAAACTGAAAGATATGGGGTTTTGAACTTTTGATTCTTGTTGATTTTGTAGTTTGCAATTGCACAGAGAGAGAGAGAGAGAGAGAGAGTGGGGGCAATTTCGGAGTTGAGAAAGAGAATATAGATGGAGGCAATTGAGGAGGCTGAAATGATTTGCCCTAAAAATATATATATTAAAATTAATTCACAAATAGTGGTAATGAAATTTCATGTACTCCATATTAGAATTTCATGTATTCCATATTAAAATTTTCTAGAATTCCTTTAATAGATTTTGAAATTTTTGATCACATTAATTTTATTTTCTTTTATATCATTTTGGTCCTTTTTTGACCAGATATTTTAGATTTTTGCTTCTTTTTAACTAGGTTTAATTTTAGTTTCCTTCTAATATCTACAACTTGACTTGGAATGTGCCTAATATTAATATTACTGATGCAAATATGAATGGTGGGAATGGTAGTTGAAAAAGAATGGTGGTTGTGTCAAAAAATAGCATTTTGCATGAAATGCACCATTAGAGCAAAATTGCTAAAATGTAGCATTTTGACACTGTAACACCTGTCAAAATATAGATTTGGCATGCAAAAATAGCTTTTAGTATTGGAGATGGTCTTAGTCACCTTATGTTGATAAAGTCGTAATTAGTGCGATAAATCTTGTGATTTCTTTGACATAGCGAGCAAGATATTGAAGCCCAGAAAGAGTCGGATCGGGATTGACACAAAGTAGGTTCTAGTTCATTTCACGATGCTAGTTAGTTACATAGAAGGCCAATTAAGTTTAATTCACAGGCTTGGTTTTTAATTATGATGTTTGAGATTGCTTCGATTTAAGAAAAGGTTGCTTGGATTTATCCATGATTTGTTTAGTTTATTCCTTATCTCGAATATCCTATTTCGGTCGAATCCTTGTGTGGATCCTATTTCAATGGGAACTTCTTTATATTTTATGTATGGTTTAACAGAAAGTACATGAATGCATTATTTTATGAAACCAACATTTGTGAAAGAAGAAATATGAGATAGAAGAAATAGAAGAGAAATGTTTAGAGGCTTAAATAAGAATTTACACTCATTCACTGCTATGGTATTTATATACTTTTTTTTTTTTTACAAGTGAAAGTGTATTAGAAAGCATTCAAAAGGGGAACGCATCCCAAGAGCTACACAAAAACCGAAGCCAAAAAAAAGGAGTCCTATGGACCCAAAGAACCCAAAAATCCACGGTTTCATCTAAAGATATACAATTTCTCTCCATCACCCAACTAAAAAGAGAACTAATAGTCTAATAATAGAAAATTTCAACGCCCCCAATAGAAGATTCCTCCCCATCAAAAGATCTTCTATTCTGCTCTTTCCACAGACTTCACCAAACACATAGGGGGGTCGCCCTCCATGAGTTACGAGCATGAACCCCCACCCTGTGGCCCCTCCAAACGTCAATCAAATCCCTTGAAGTCTGGGGCATAACCCATTAGACGCCAAACAAATCAAAAATAAGACTTCAGCAGTCATGAGCCACAGGGCAATGCAAAAGAAGGTGATCCCCAAACTCTCCTTTTATTCTTATACAGATAACACCAGTTGACTGTGGTCTGTCTTCTCTTTCTCAGATTGTCCAAAGTCAAAATCTTGTCCCAAGCTGCAATCCAAACAAAAAAAGCCATCCTAAAAGGAGCCTTCGAACGCTAAACCATTTTCCTCAGCAAATTAGAACCGTGAAACCCGGAGAGGCAAAGAAAAAAGGAATGGACTTGAAAAATTCCTTGCGGAGAAGGCACCTAAGTTAAGGAATCCGAACCAATAGCATCCACCTCCTGTCTATACAAGAGGTCCAGCAAGCCAGTCACGTCGTCCAACTCCCAATCCTAAAAGGATCGCCGAAGTCGCACATCCCAATTAAACCTACCGTTATCGAGTCGATAACAGTCAACTACTAAAGCATGTCTATCAACAGCAATCTTGAACAACTTTGGGAACAAATAAGATAATGGGCGATCCTCGCACCAAGCATCCTCCCAAAATCGGACGTCCCTTCCCTCCCGAACTCTGAATCTAATGTGCTTAAAGAACTCATCTCATCCCTTCCAAATAACTTTCCATAACCCCACCCCGACAGCAGATCTAACCGGCCTAGATAACCATCCCCCTCTCTCCTCCCCAAAGCGACACGAAATAACCCTCCTCCATAACCTATGCCTTTCGCTACCGAATCTCCATAACCACTTGCCAAGGAGCGTTCCTAATCTCCGAACCCCAAGACTGCCCAGCTGAAAAGTCCTGTAAACCTGCTTCCACAGGGCAAGATGAAACTCAAACTCCTCCCCCCGGCAGCCCTAGAGGAAGTTCCGTTGAAGCATCTCTAGTCTTCCAACAATAGAGGAAGGGATCTGGAAAAGCGAAAAATAATAAGTTGGAAGATTGGATAATGTACTTTTCACCAAGGTAACCTTCTCGCCCTTCGAAAGATAGCCAACCTTCTCTTGAAACGCTCTGTCACCGGGTCCCAACTTCCCACCCTTCTTGACGAATCACCCAACAGCAATAGGGAAGGAGCTCGTCCCACACCCTAAAACCACTATAAGAGAAGCCACCTCCTGAACCTCCCCCACAAAGACAAGCACACTCTTACCTACGTTAACTT